TTATCAGATTAATTGTTGCATGTTCAGTTTTGAGCTATCCAGTACTTTATAGAACTCAGTCATAATGTGGTAACCACTTAATTCATTGGGAGTAGCATAATACCGAGTTGGACTAGGGTTCAACGTACCCATATAGTCCCAGAACTACGAGCCACGTAGGTGTAAGTCCCCTCTGTGGGCAACATCAGTTTAGTGATCACGCCAGCATGCCTCTATACCTCTGGCAGGGTATATTGGGTCCTCTCGATTGGGCGTAAACATCGGACTCCACATTTAGCTCATGTGGTTTTATGTCGGTTATTAGTAGCTCCCACAGTTCAGTCAGACTTTTTTGCATTGACCATATTTCAGTACAGTCAGTATTCAGTCTCAGCATGTTATAAATTTGGTCATTGCATCAATTAGCTCAGTACTCAGTATTTCCAGTATCTATGTCATGCTCAGATTATTTCATTGCTTTATTGCGTTGTTCAGTTATATGTTATTTCAACTTTACTCTATCCTGCATGCTCAGTACCTTTCAAGTACTGACGCATACGTGCGCTACATCTTCTCGTGATGTAGGTTCAGGTTCTCAGCATCCAGATCACGCTTAGATCGGTTCCCGATCTCCAGTTCGCAGCATCAGTGGTGAGTCCTCATTCTTCGAGGACTAGTGACATGTTTATCTTTATCGCTTTTAGTCTTTAGTTTCAGTTTTGCTAGACCTAGTTGGGGCATGTCCCAACATTTTTAGTCAGTTTAGAGGCTTATTTCAGACATAGTTAGATTCAGCTAAGTATTTTGAGTTTGATATTTCTTTTGTATTAAACTCTCAGATTTGATATATTCAGTTATAATATATGGGTATTCCCCATCTTTTCAGATTTATTTATGAATTAGCTTCCGCATCAGTTTATTATCTTTAGTATGCTCATGATCATGCCAGCAGGGTTAGCTTGGGATCACTTGTGGTCTTAGGTCTCGTGTCCGCGTCTCGGGGGTAGCTTGGGGCGTGACAAAGGGGAGTGTGATGTAGATCAAAGTGACGCTACTTGAAGGAGGCCTTTCACAAGGAGTCAAACTAAGGACCTTCAAGCATTGCAAGCTTTATGGATGAAGATGGAACCTTTGGAAGGCTCCAACATGGAAGACTTGAAGATATTAATATATTAAGTGCTCTACCATTTTAATTACCTTGTAATTTTAATGAAGGGAAATTGAGTCTTTTTCACTATTTTAGTTTTTTTTAGTATAAATAGTAGATATTAGGGTTTCATAAGGTTTTTTTGGACATGTTATGCCTCTTGTGAGAGTTTGGAAGCCCTATGTTGAACTTCAACATTTTGTCCTAGAATTTGCAAGTAAGGTTATTACTTTCTTGAGGATTCTAATAGATTAGGTGCTTTTATTTCTCAATTAAGTAGTGTTTTTGGTTAGTTTCACCATTACATCTCTTAGTTGATTGAATTTAATTGTGTCCATCTCTTTTATCTATCTTTTTTTTATTTCTATTTTATTTTTATCTTTTTGTTTCACATCAAAATCCCAATTACCTGTTGGTTTTTCAAAATTTTTCATGGGATATCAGTTGGATACCAAATATATACCAATTGGATACAAAATTAAATTGTTTTAGGCTGACTAATTTAGTTGAAATCTCGATTACATGTTGTTTTTTCAATTTTTCCAATAGGATATCAATTTCATACCAAATGTATACCAATTGGGTACAAAATTAACTAGTTTTAGGCTGATTAATTTAGTTGAAATCTCAATGAAATGTTGTTTTTTCAAAATTTTCAATGGGATATCAATTTGATATCAATTGTATACCAATTGGGTACAAAATTAACTAGTTTTAGGCTGATTAATTTAGTTGAAATCTCAATTACGTGTTTTTTTTTTCAATTTTTCCAATGGGATATCAGTTAGATACCAAATGTATACAAATTGGATACAACATTAATTAGTTTTAGGTTGGCTATTTCAGTTGAAATCTCAATTATATGTTGTTTTTTCAATTCTACCAATAGGACATCAGTTTAATACCAAATGTATACTAATTTCATACTAAGATTTGACTTAATTAATAGGACATCAGTCGATATTAAATGCATACTAGCATTACCTAGTTTTTTACTATACATTTAAAAACACTTAATATATAAATGATTAATTAGTACACATAATAAATGTTCTGAATATATAAGTCATTAACTTAAAAGACAAAATAGATCAAAACATGAGTTTGTCACAATAAAATAATCAAATCAAAATCAAAATAAATCATGTTTTTATTTCAGCAGTTGTGTCCCTCCCGATGATATGTACTGCATTAACCTTAGACCTTTTGAATTTCAAATCAGCAAACTCTTTCCAGCGTTGAAGTTGTGGTCTCCCTACAATTTTTCTAATCTAGGCGGCAATAGTTTATGCTCCGACACTTTTTGAATTGCATATTTTAAACAATCAACATATTTGCCTGTTCCATCAAGAAATTACCGTGTCAGTCGTACATAATACAAAAGAAAAAATACATGTGTTATATTTGTATACAAACTTAATACAATTCTTCACACATTTCATACATATTTTTACTCATTATTCATACCAATATCATGTCAATAGAATACCAAAATAATTCTAACTTATAAATATTTGTTGTAATTTCTAAAATAAACAATATACCAAATTCATTACATAAGAATGCCAAAAAAAATATTCATTCAAACCAGAAATCATACCATAAAACATCATAGAACGGAATATACTCATTTCATACATATTAGGGCACACTTTTCATACATATATCATCCTAACATTATTACTATTTAATCACATATATCATAGTTTTTTTTCATAGCAGAATAATGTCAACATAATACAAACATAATCTTAATTTTGACAATTAATTATCATTTATTAAGTAATGATTTATACGCAATTCATTCAAATGTAATTTCAAAATCGTGCCAAGAAAGAGTATAAACAGTATACCAATTATAGATAAATTTTATGTAATTTTTTTTCAAGAAATCTAAAATTAAAAAAAAATTCATACCAAAATCTATTCCAGTTTCAAACTTATATAATGTAATCTAAAAAAAAAAAATGTTCATACCAAAAAAGTCACAATCAAATTCTATTATACACAAACAAAAACTGAAAATTTACTTTCTAGCATAATTATTCATACCAATATCATTCCAAACACAGTACCAAATTCATTCCAACCTATACATTTTATTTATATATTCAGAAAAAAAATAGAATCCCATATTATAATTTTAAACTGCATACCGAATCCATCTTATTATTATTATTATTATTATTATTATTATCAAATTGACTAAAAAAATACCAGTTTCATGACAATGTTACAACATATTTCATACCATTAAACACATTTCATACATTTTTTTGTCACAAATTTCATAACTTTACAACGCTAATACTATTAATATTCCATACACTTATACTCTAATTATCCAGATATTAATTCAATATCACACAAATCCATGGTATAAATAGTATAATTCTCTTTATGATTTCTCTTTGTTTTGTATTTTATATAAATTTTTTTATTGTCATAAGTTTATATTTTCTTTTGATTCAAAAGTGTAACTTATGATTTTGTCGAAGGTCATCTAACTTCTAATTAAATATTTTTCACTATGAAATCAATAATATGTGTGGATAATATATATATATATATATATATATATATATATATATATTGACATCTTATCGTTTTTTATTCACACTTCGTGATATAAGCACGGACAAAACTCATCTAGTAAATTATAATGCATGATGACGCCGGACCACTTTCAATGAAGTATCTTTTATCAAACAAATCCCCGCCGTTCGTTAATAAATGTCGGCTGAACATACGGCCATCAACGTAACCAACAATTGTATGACATAGAGGATTTCACCGCCTTTTCCTCCCATTCCGTCCTCTTCCATTCCTTTCCTTTGGAAATCAACGATTTCATTTTACAACGTAGTCAACTACTTTTTTTTTAATTACCACATACTTCTGTCCCTACTAACTCGTTAATTTTTTATTTGATACACTTATTAAAAAAAATACTAATTAATATAGTAAATTTATCATTTTATTATCTCTATTAATTAATAGAATTTCAAAATCAACTTACTCATTAAAGAGGTTTTACATTTTTCAAAAATATTCTCTCTAAATAATTTGAGAATATAATAGATAAAAATATTGTTTTTTCTTGATTTGTCAAAAATAACAAGTAAAAATGAACAAATAAAAACTCAAAATTGAATAAATAAAAAGAAACCGAGATAAATAATATTGACTTTTTGTTGTGCTTGATATTTGAAAAAGACACCAAAAACAATTTTTTTTTTAATACAAACAACTGTAGATTTGCATAATGTATAAGTTTGATCTGTTGGAAGACGGCAAAATATTCGATAATAATAATAAAAAAAGAAGGTAAAAAGAGGATGAAAAAAATAAATATAGGAATAATGTGGTTTTTTTAATCATCAATAAATTAGGCCAAAAAATAGATAGCCGCACAAGAAAAGATACTATAATTACTTACAAATTATTTTATTTTTCAATTACTACAATGATTTCCACATTAATAAGGTAAAAAGTTATACATATATTCTCTACCCATTTATTTTCTTCAAATTTAATAACATCTTTAAAAAAAATGGAGTCTCAAATCATTGCTTTAATAATTTTATAATCGAACCAATTCTATGTTAATTTTTTGATTTTAAATATGCGTTGAAATTAAAATTGTTTTCCTTAAATGGAATAAAAGAAAAAAAATCCAAATAAATTGAAACTGAGCCAGTACAAAATGTAAAAAATAATTTTATGGTAGGGTTTCACACAAGTCATCCCTAGACTTCCTTTAAGTCAAAAAAGGACTGCAAATAAATAATTTTTAATATAGAAAATACTGCATTTGATCTTTTAAAAATGGATAAAAAAAAAAAAAAAGAGAGAAGAAAGTCCAATTGAATTAAAATGGAGGGACTAAAATATTCATATTTGTCAATGAAAAATTAAGCCAAGGAAGAAAAAGAAAAATGTGCGATCGCAGATAAGAGAGAGAAAGAGCGCCGTGTGGTTCTACAAAACTGTTTGATTCATAAGTTCAGGGATTCTCGTGCAGATTGAAAATCTCGCCGGCGAATCTTTCTTTTGATATCACCGGGGAGTTGACTGGTGGTTTTGATCGGAAAAAGCTGGAGATTCTCTGTCGGAGGTGAACAGAAGTAAGAAATATAAGGATGGTGAATTCAATGGTGGAAAGAGCAACGAGCGATATGCTCATAGGTCCTGATTGGGCTATGAATCTCGAGATCTGCGATATTTGCAATCACGATCCCGCGTATGCTTCTCTTTCCTTGCTCTTTTTAATTTATGGTTTTGTGTATGTTAAACTCTCGCAGTTTTTCTCTTTTACTTTTTGGTTTAGGTGACCTGAGAGTGTTCCAATGATTTAGACTGAGTTTAGAACTGGATTTCGAAGTTTGGATGTAGCACTTAAGTAGTTGCTCGTTGAGTAGTTGATGACTTGCGAAGCTTTAGATAAATATATAGGATAGTGGCAATTGTGTTATTTACCAAAAAGGAAAAACTAATAGTACCTCTGTTGAGAATTTCATGAAAAAAACTGTTAATTCGATGAGGTGATTGGTTAGACTAAATCCTGTTTGGTTAGGAAGTCAGGGGAGTGCAAGTGACATTATGCAAAACGGAAGTGAGTGATTCTGTTGTTAGCTCCTCCTAGATAGGAAATCATTTTTGCACTGCGTACCAGTGAGCTTTAGTGTCATGATTGTTAATTGGATGATCTCTTTGGGTTGTCGAAGTCTAATTTAGGTTTGCATTTCATTTTATGTGGGTAAAATATCCTTGTGAGTTCTTAGCTGTTGTCATGATGAGCAAAATGACCTTTCTTAGTCCTGAGTTCATTTTACTTTGTATGTTATGCTATCTAATGCATTGTTTTTCTTAAGAACTCTGATGAGCTACTCCTCCGAATATCAATGATAATTCTGGAGTCTATGGCTTTTCTTTGTCAATTGAGTTTGAAAATAGTGTTGTATAATCTGTTGTGCATATGTACTGTATTGCATCAAATTCATCCTCTCCTTGTGCCAAGGTTGGGTGCAAGGAGATATAGCTGATCCATAAACTGAAACGGTTGGCTTACCACCCCATTGGATTCTTATTATTATTGCTTTGTCTCAAATTGCACTCCTAGTATCCTAAAAGTTTAGTCATTTTTACTTATCAAACCCAAAAAAAGGAATCTTTTTTTACTATGTTTTCTGACAGTGTTGTCAAAGGTGGCGTTTGAGCCCTAAATGTAGCAAACTCTAAGGTGGTGCGTCTGTGAAAATGCCATTGACACATGCATCTTGGCAAAAGCATACGGCAAACCAACCAATGTTTTGTTTGAGAACACCATAAATTTTCGAAGTTACATGAGTTCTGACTTGGAAAAGATGGCAGTGGATAATAAATATAGCCAAAACTAAGCGTGGTATTAATCCTTAAGAGGTGCCAGAAATTAATAAGTTTCTGACCTTGCTGGTTTATGTACCTTTCTACGAGGAATTAATATGTGATTTTTCTCTGAGGATTTAAGACCAATTGCGTTTGGCAATCATCTCTACGTTTGCCCATTTTGTCTTAGGCTCCGAGCTTCATGTCTTCATCAACCAGACGATTGGAATCATGACTGGATCAACATGTTGTTCCTGTGTGATTCCTTCCAATCGTGGAGATGAACAGAAATTGTCTCCATGTTTTTCCCTTTTGCACATTTTTCTATTCTCTGATTTTCAGCTTTTTGATCTAAACTTGGTCTTCCTTCAAACTTTTTGATACATTTATTCCCTTTGTTTCCTTTTGAGTTCATAGACCTCAACAAAATAAGTTAGTTATGCTGTTAGACCTTTACTTAGAGAGGCTACAATTCAAGTAATAGACGTCAGTTCCCAACTAATCAACTCCCTCAAACTTAAACTTTTGTTTATTCTCAAACTAAGAAAAAAATAACATGAACGTTTTACACATTAAGTGCTCAAGTTTCTTATGATTATGGTTGCTATCAACAATTTACTTCAAATCACTCGCATTCTCAACAAGTCCCTTTTTGTACCTTTCCTCAACTAGGTGGACTAACTTAATGAAGAGCATTGGTTTGATCTTAAGTTCACCCATTTAACAGTGAGTGCACCTGACAAACTTACCATCCCAAACAAAATAAAGAATCTTGATTGCATCTGACAGTGCAGCCTGTTCAAATGATTTTAAGTCTGTCTTTAGTTGTATCTGCGGTACACGTGTTCCATGTTTGGACACCCATTTCTGGTTTCCAGGGAGTTTCATCATATGCACAGTTGATAATTTTATCACCCCAATGGAGGATAAATTTTACGTGCATTAAATGGAAATCGGGGTATTGTGGACGAAGGAGGTGAAGATGCTTTGAAAAAGATGACTTTCTGTGTGTCAACTCAAGTGCTGTTACTTAAACTTTTTGTTTTGTTGGTCAAGATAAGAACCCGTGAACGGTATATTTTCTTAGTTCTTCTGGTTAACTGGCAGTGTGATCTTTAGGCCTTTTGTAAATAATTTCTGTAATATTTCTCATATGTGGTTCTTCAGAGTATTGTAATAATATATAGCTTCCCCTTTATCTGAAAAGAAAAACATTAAATAGAAATCCAGTGAACTAGACTGTAATTGCATCATGTAGTAGTGCTCACTAAAATTTCCCTTTTCCTCTTCTTTCTTTCTCTTTGAATTTTCTCTCGTTTTAATGGCTTGCCAATATGGATGTGTGCTTTTACCTTTGGTGGAATATTGTTTAAAGTTATTATTGACATTTATGTTCTTTTTGGGTTTACCAGGCAAGCCAAAGATGTCGTGAAGGGAATAAAAAGACGTCTTGGTAGTAAGAATCCCAAAGTCCAACTTCTTGCTCTGACAGTAAGCTTCTTAAGCCGCCAAAATTGATGCCTTAATACTTCATTCATATGGACTGTTAACTCTCCAACTTTTGTGCTACTTTGTCTTTGTTTCTTTCTTTTATGTAGGCGATGTTCGGGTGTTAAATTTATGCCACCTCTTTCCGTCAACTCTTTCATGTTCATTATTTTTTCTCTCTCTTATTAACTACAGATATGGTCATGTATGCTGTGTGATCATTATTTAAAAAAAACCACATATACATTATCATGGAGTATCCTTGAGGTGGAGTGGTGATATATGGCACTGTGCATCTCAAGCAATCTCTAATCAGCTCTTAGCGTGTAGCTTATCGAACAAAACACAGCTATTAAAGTGATGTCTAGTCTTTCCGGTGACACACAAGGGTGCATTCTTAGCCTGTAGCTTATCGAACAAAACACAGCTATTAGAGTGATGTCTAGTCTTTCTGGTGACACACAAGGGTGCATCCTATGCTTTCTTAATGCTAGGTGCTTTCTTAAACTCGTAGTTGATTAGATAATCTGTTTGAAAATATAGATGTTTAATAAATAGTTCTTACACCCAAAGATGTTCCCTAGTGGTCAATGAAGTGGATAACCCTGAGGCCTCGGTTCAACTTCAGCGGCGGCAAAAATCACTAGATGAATTCTTCTTATCCACCTAAGCCTTAGTGGACAGAGTTACTTGGTACTTGTGCTGGTGGGAGGTAGTAGGTAGCCCATGATATTTGCTAGGTGTACACAATCTGCCCCAAACAGTACCGTATTGAAAAAAGATGTATGGTTCTTGTAAAGAAATTACAAAAGGATGTTAAAGGACAATGCTCATCTACAATTTGAATGGATAAATATATTATTTACATTGTTGTACATTCTGCTTTAGAGTACTCTATCAGTGCTATGGCTTCGTCCTTGTCCTTGGGGATTCTCTTGCTTTATTTGGTGGTTGTTACCTTATAGATGTACCTAGCCGAACTTGCAATGAACTCACACCAGTTAAGAATGCTACAGTGTCCCTCATAGGTTGTGTTAGGGTTTTCCACCCTCTTGTATATGGTAGACTATTTGGAGAGAAAGAAACAAGAGGTGTATGGAAAATACTGCAGAATCAGTACAAAAGATCAAATGGCGTTGTATGAAGACCTTCTGTTTTTGGTGTAATGAGGAGGGTATAGAGGATGCTGGACAGATTTTAAATTTTTTCTCTTCTTTATAAGTTAGGTAGCAGTTTCTTGAGTTGGTCTTTTTTGGGTCACTTATGTAAATCTTTTTGATGGTTGCCAGCATACCCTCATTGCTGAGGAATACAACTTTACTTTATCAAAAAAAAATAAAAATATTCCTGAGTTACTTCACCCATTGCTTTAAGGTTTTGAGGTGAATGTTTAGATTCTTTCGCCTTGTAATAGAGTGAAACTTTGGTGAGCCCGTTTCCACAATTGCTTCCTCTCTAGGCTTTTCCTTTTCTCAACTCAGCTCATGGAGCTTCTCAGGTTTTATACCTCTCTCAATTTAGTCCATCTATCCACTAACATTACTCCTGGTCCACTCATCACCTATTGAGCCTAATCTATCTCCCTCGAGGCCTGCTACTGTTGAACCTATTGAGCCTAGTCTATCTCCCTTGATTCTAGGCCTGCTACTGTTGAATATCCTTTCAAAAAAGGGGGAAAAAAATCCACGTGCAGAAGGTGTTGAAGCTGTACTTGTATCTCATTGGTTGTGTAAGGGTTTCCAATATGATCTCGAGCTACTTGACCCATCTCCTTAAGGCTTTGGGTTGGATGACTATGACCCTGTTTGGGTTGACTTATTTAGGTGCTTTTAAACCAAAATAGCTTTTGAGCAGTTTTATAGTATTTGGCTAAAATAAAAAAGTGCTTATGAACACTTGTTTTTAAGCCAAAATAACCAAAAAAAAGAAGAAGTCAAAAGGCATATGTTAGAATTTCTAACTATGGCTTTTGGCTTATAGTCATAAGCCAAAACCCAAACAGACTCTAAATTCTTTCGCAATAAAAAGTTGAATTATAGTAAAAATGTTTATTCCACAGGGATCAACTTCTTTTACTGAACAAAATAGTTCTGAAACCACTATATGAGAAATCGATTGAAGTTGGTCATTTTCTACAACTAGATGAAGTTTTCTAAGTGAGCCAATATAGTACTTGGAAAGAAAAGTTTCAGCAATAAGGCCCCCAAGGCCTAGCTCGAGTGGCAAAAGGTGGAGGATTTGTGGCTTAGGTTGCAGGTTCAAGCCCCACACCATGCAAAGCAAAGACCGGTATTTAAGTGGAGAAGGGTAGAGGGGCGGGCCCATTATCCACCGAGTTAGAAGGCTGTGATTGGTCCAAAAGGCGGGTCACAGACAACTTTCTCGGTTATAAAAAAAAAAAAAAGTTTCAGCAATAAGAAATAATTGATTGATGAAGATAAGGCTGGGATCTTGGTTTCGCTGGATGTTTGAAACAAAGGTCAAGTAACTTAATTTTCCACATTTATATCATTCTCACTTTGATACAAATTCCCCCCTCAATCACATTCAACTATTACAAGTTATCTAATTAAATGTACTCCTTGCTGTTATGCATCTGGTTGAACTCTCGTGATGCATTAAAATAAAGAAAGCTTTACCATTTGGTTGGGTTTCTAGAATTGTTCAGGACTCCTTTCAGTTATATTTACTACCACCATTAGATTCCTACACTTTTCCCCTTTCTGTTAAGATCTAGTGGGCAACGAAATCATGATTTAGTAGATTCATATGGAAAATCTAGAAGTTCACTTCTCATCAGCTCCTATAAGAGTTGGACAAAATAATTAATGTTTATACAAAAACTGTATCTCAAAGTAGGTATGTCTTGGAATTCAAATAGATACATATTTTCACTCAATCAACTTGTAACCTTTAAGAGTCTTTAGTTGCCTAAATTCCCCTTCATTAGCAGTGTGACCCTGTGAGAAAGACTGAATTTTTTGATGTTATCTTTTAAGATTCTAAAATTCATGAAGGAATACTGATTGATTTACTGTTGCTTTAACATTTTTTTTTATAACTTTGAACTCCAGCCTATCAAATTAATAAGTTGATTGGACATTATAATTGAGTTTCCATTTTTCAGCTGTTGGAAACAATTGTCAAGAATTGTGGGGATATTGTCCATATGCATGTTGCTGAGAAAGATCTCCTTCATGAGATGGTGAAAATTGTAAAAAAGAAGGTGACTTCTTGCTGACTCACAAACTCCCTTATGTCTTCTTTGAACCTTTTTCTTTCTTCACAAAGTTAAGGCATCTTTATGTACTGTTTTGTAACAGCAACCTGACTTGCATGTCAAGGAAAAAGTACTAATTTTGATAGACACGTGGCAAGAAGCATTTGGAGGACCAAGGGCAAGATATCCACAATTTTATGGTGCATACCAGGAGTTGCTTGTAAGTCTTTCTGCTGGTTTTAATTTGTGTATCTGCATGTGACAGCTATTCATGTCTTAAGTAATCAAAACAATTAAGAAAAGAAATTGGGTCAATTGGTGATAGTTCAGTTTTCTAACTTATCATCCAAAATCAGCTACTAATTAGTATAGGGTCCAGTTGCAACATAGCAGTTGTTGGAGGAATGCATATCACCAAGCAATTCAATGGTTACTAATATTCCAATTAAGACGCTTATTGAACCAAACTTCCAGCTTCCACCACACGTATTTTGTTCATTCACAGTTGTCATGTCATGTCATTCCTTTAGCATTTTGTTGCTTCTCAAAAATGGAGTTTTAAACATACTGCTTGACGTTCCAGCGCATTGGAGCTGTATTCCCTCAGAGAGCTGAGAAAGCAGCCCCCGTGTTCACACCCCCCCAAACACATCCGCTGACTTCATACCCACAGAATCTGCGGAATCCTGAATCCGGTCAGGAAGCAGCTGAGTCTTCTGCAGAGGCTGAATATCCAGCCTTGAGGTGAATCTTATATTTCTAACTCTTGAAAGAATTTAGACTTTTAAGTCATTTACTGTGATTTCTCTCTCTTTTTTCTTGTCCTGTTGTGGAGCTGTCAGCAGGTGCAGCTGGTATAATTGATGTACAAAAGCGAAAATGGAGAGCCAGTCTAGGAGAAAACTTCTCCTACTTGTCCTAGCACAACTTTTTTGATGACTAGTTTCTTAGAGCATGCCTTGACATATTTGATGGTTGAGCTCAATGCCTCAACCAAATGTAAATTTAGGCAGGTGATACAAATACACATGTTTAAAGTCAACGGAAAACCATCATTTTGATGACAGTGCAATAAAGAATCGAAGAGAACTTGGGATTAATTTCCTCCATCAGCAATGATACTCTCTTATTGCCCAAAATGTAACGGTGAATAACCTTAGGACTGGTTGCTGGTATATATCTTCCTTTTTGTGCAATATCTGCTTGAACTTCCAAGGATCTTGATCCAAGTTCATTGAGTGTATCCCAATATCTGGTAGAGTTGAAAAGTGGTAGGATCATAGCAGGCACACTGTAGGATCATTAATGGATTTTTAGGATCAGTAGTCCCCTCCTACTTCGCCAATTATACTAGTTTTCTTCATTTTGATGTATTTTATGAGTTGTGACATCTAGATGTTAGGTCACGCAATCCAAGATTAATCTGCTCAGCTGTAAATAGAAATAATAATGTATATATGAAAATCCATTCTCACATCTTCTTTTTATTTCAGCACTTATCTTTGATATATTATATGTCTATGATTGGTGTTGATATCTCTCTTCTGAGATGCATTATCATATCTAGACTTGATGTTACTTGTTTTGACTAATTTGAACTCATTTACGTTTGTCCTTTTAGTGTTAATATATTGTAACTGTTATAACCTGAAGCAAGATGAATGATTTATAGCTGCTGGTGAATGTCATTTAATACCTACACCGCTTATCTTTCGGCTGTTAGGCTTGCTGTGGTAGTTAATTCTCATTTTCTTCTTTTTACGTTGCTAGCTTGACAGAGATCCAGAATGCACGTGGTATCATGGATGTCCTTGCTGAAATGTTGAGTGCATTAGATCCTGAAAACAAAGAGGTAGAGTCTTGCTTATAGAATCTGTTGAGGGCATTATTCAACATTAAGATATTCTTACTTTAATGCAAACTGGGCAGTCTAAAAGTTTCGCAGTCTATTGTTGTCAGCTCACGTAGTTGCTTCGTAGATAAATATTTACCTCTAATTAGAACACTGGGTATTTGGTGTTGAAATTTCCTAAATTTGATTTAGTTCTTTTGTGTCGAAATCTTTATCTGTTATTTTGCTGAGTTAATGCTCTTTGTTCGCTGCGATAATATATTTGCTTGTTGGTTTACAGGGGCTGAAACAAGAGGTGATTGTTGATTTGGTGGAACAATGTCGTACCTACAAACAAAGAGTAGTACACCTTGTAAACTCGACTACGTAAGGCCTTGTTTTACTCAGGCTACTTCTCATTAAGTGCTATTCCTGTAAAATCTTGACAGGTTTATCAAAATTTATTTATTGGGTACTATATTCGTATTGATGAAGTGGAACTGATGAGGAAATTAGTGGCCCACTCTGACATATATTAGAATTTTTCCTTTTTTCCAAAAACTATTTTCAAATCAATATTTGGTTAACAAATTGTTGCTGCTACAATTTTCCAACTCCAACTTGAAGTTGGTTTTCAAGTTTGAGCAAGTGTTGCAAACCAGCTTTTGAAAGTGAGTTTTTTTTTTCTTTCTCAAAATTGCAACATTTCTTCAAATGAAATACCTGTCCAAATGCAACTTCAATTTTCAAATACCCTTTCTGAACTTAACTTCAAATGCTACTTTTTTTTTTTTCAAATATCATCTGATTCATCTCCGAACGCCTACCTAGATTTCTGAATCTATGGGCTCAACAGAAGCTCTAAATAACTAAACCTTCAGAATCAAGTCTGGGAAAATTGTGTTAACTGAACCAAATAAAGCAAAACACACTTGGTTAGGTCAGGATGACCATTCAGATGTTTGGAAAGAGAGATCCCTATCACATTGTGACTTGCAAATATTATATCTCCCTATAGAGTACTACTAGTCCACAGCATCCTCTTAAGAAGGAAATGGTCTCTCTAACAGTGTGTCAGTTTTTTTAACTTAACAGTTTAAACAAACATGGAAACCACACTTGATAGGACATAGATGTTGATATCATAATTAGTTTGACATACATGGTATCGAATTGTCGATAGTCTTTTGGATTCTCGAATTTGACTGTCACGTCACCATAAATCCAACAGGTGGGAGTGGTGGAACAGGTTTTGTAACAATTATTTCACGGCCTCTTGATAAATTGAGTGGTTTAGATTATCAAAGGCAAAGTATAGAAAATGTCCCAAGGTCTGATGGGACTTAAAGCGCAAAAAACCATCAAAGCATGAGGGTTTGTGATGTAAGGCACTAATTTGGAAAACAAAGAAGTGCCTAAGCTAGGCCGTTGATGTGTTCTGTAAATATGTTCTAACAAACACTATTTTTTTAATTAAAATGACTAAATTGTCCTTAAAGCTATTAGCACTAACAATGAACTGATTGTTGCCATCTCTAAGTAGCCTTCTTCTCTCTGCTTTTGTATGTGTTAGTTTTTGAAGATGTTGAGATAGAAGTACGAACATATTCTCTGGTGCCCAAAATCTGCTTGCATTATGGTGTGAGATTGTGTCGTTGTCAATGGCCAGCCTTTTACTGTGAACTTTTTCAGTGATTGAACTTGTGCTTAGGTTTGAATTTCTTGTCAGCTCAATGTAGTTGCACTCTTCTAGTAATAACAACAGCATAGGTGTTCCATTGATGATTTATTAGACATTATTTCTGTAATGATGCTGACCTTGTTAAATGGTAGGATAGAGAACTTTTATTCTTTCATCTGGCCTTTGTAAGTGAAAGTTGGTGTCTCTGCTGAAGTCAGGAGTAGAAGCAGTTGCAGTCTCTTTAGATAGTGGCCGAATGTGAATGATGTCAGCTGAAGGAGCAGAAGATGGAAGTATGTAATCTACTTACATTAAAGATGGAGAAAAAAAATTAAGACCAGGGCTGTACTCCAAATCTATGCTTAGCAGGAGCTTAGGAGCTTCTCAGGACAACAACCTTTTGGATTTTTTTAAATCTGATTCCAACATTTCATGTTTATGTTAATAAATATGTATTTTTGTTGACAATCCTCTCAAAATTGTTCTTGATAAATGATTTATTGGATGGTTCTGATTGAAACGTGGAAGGTTTTAATTATTGTTTCGGTAAGTGAGATGGGTATTCTCATTAACACACACTAGGGCATGTTGCATGATTCTATTTAAAGAGGTGTAGGAACGCGTGTGCTCTGTTGACCTGGACTCTTGAAGTAGTCCAAGGTTGTAGTGATTGTTGCTTGCTTTAGATGGTCTGGAATAGTTTTAATTTTTAGCAGTAAGACTTTTGGTTTTGAATTGGTTAATAGAGCCTTACCCACTGTTTGCATTTGCAGTTTGGGATGCTTTGTCGGGAAACTGAGAGCTGGAGGGGGAATGCTTGCTATTTTTTTCTTCTGAATTTATTGATTAGATTAGATTCCTTTTTATTTATTTATGCGTTCCATAGCTACGGAAATTTTTTTATAGTGGAAGAGGGTAGGTTAATTAGTTGAAACTTGAAGCTTCTAATTTATGTCATGTTTATAAGTCAATTGTCGGGGAGAGAAGTAAAGGCTAACCATTTTTATTGCCATCTGCTGGCCTTATTTTTGCGGTAGAAGTTCTAGTGATTCAGTTAGGACAACAATATTTTATCAAGCAATACAAATATGTTGGACTGGCCATGATATTGGAACTTAAATCGAACCTCTTATTCTTAGTCCGAGTCTTTGCTATGTTTTCTCTCTGCTCTGCCATATTTATTTTGCACCATTTGGTTGTGATTCCTGTGGGATCCTTACATTTACCTGATGCAGGGATGAATCACTGCTCTGCCAAGGGCTGGCGCTGAATGATGAGTTGCAGCGTGTATTGGCCAAGCATGAATCTATTGCTTCCGGAACTTCTGTTCAAGTGGAAAAACCAAAATCTGAACCACCTCAACCTCTTGTAAATGTTGATGCTCCGCTTATTGATACCGGAGACCGCAAACAATCAGACCAAGGGTAAATAGATATTATCTGTATCATTCTCTTATTGACTTCTGTATAACCCCCACCCCCCACCCCCAATTCTTGGTTTCTTTTTGAGCGAGCTCATAGCTTAAATAGTACATGTGGATTTTCTAGATTGAAATGTTAAATTGTTAATTGCCTAAAATGAGTGACCTTAAAATTATGATCAACTAGATTAGGATGTTATCAAGGTTCAAAAGTCCTCTGGTACTGCAAGATTGATGGAAATATGTGACTTCTTTGCGATGCAGAATTTTCCTAGTCAGTGCTAGGTGATTGTACTTTAAATAAGCTACCCCTTCCCCTTCCCCAAAAGAAAAGGGGAATTATGTTAGAAATCCTGGGTATTCTGTTTCATTTTTGAGTCGTCAAATGTGACCATCTTTTTCATATAAATCGCTTGGTGTGTTTTTCAGATCTACATCAAATGCTAGCCTAGGGACACAGTTGCTTCTTCCTGCTCCTCCAGCTAACATTCCATCAACAACAACAAAAGTTGACCCGAAAATTGATCTTCTGAGTGGAGATGACTTCAGCTCACCTACAACTGAGAATGTCCTGGCCCTTGTTCCTGTTGGTGGAGAACCTCAGCCTGCAAGTCCTGTTTCACATCAGAATGCCCTTGCTCTTGTTGACATGTTTTCATCACCCAGCAACTCACAATCTCCATATTCAGCAGGGCAGACCCATGCTTCATCCCCTCAATTTCGACAACAGAGTTTCACTTCTACCCAGTCAGCTTTGTACCCAAATGGAAGTGTCCCCGGAACTACATATACACAAGGCTCTAACACGGCCTGGAACGAACAGATATCACAGCAACAGCAGCAGTCACCTTCTCCAGTTTATGGTGCGTTCCTTTGTCATTCTGCATGCATTCTGGTTTATATCAACAACAACAACAACAAAAAATCTGCACGCATTCTGTTTTACTTTGAAGTTCTATAGAAATGTGTACTCTGTTCGCTATAGGTCGAATTTGTCCTCATTATTATTCTCTATTATCCCAAAAGACCGGGCAACCATTAGATACATTAGTGAAGAGTTAAACAGGGATATGCTGAAGTATAGCGTGTGTTTGAAGTTGGTATGCCTCATGTGTAAAACCAAATTTCTGTACAGGTCTTATGTATTGCCTGAATTTTACGACCTCTTGCTCATTGAGTTTCTGAATTATTACTCACATAGTGCTTGTCTAATTTCTGATTAGGTGGTCAAAGCAGTTCTTTTCCACCACCTCCATGGGAAGCTGAGGCAGCAGAGAACAGCCAAACAGTGGGGAATCCTCATGCTCAATCGATGCAAAATAATCAGTTGTTGCCAGGTAGTCCACATGCCCTACCAATGCACAACAATCAGTTAATGTCTGGTAGTCCAAATGCTTTATCAATGCAAAATACCCAGCTGATGGCAGCTAACAACCAGCAATTGGCTGGTGGTTCACATGTCCATGGTATGTATGCACAACCGATCACTGGTGGACAACCTGCAATGATGAACCAGGCTATGCAAAACAATCAGATGGTAGGCTTCCTTCCTCAACCAATCCAAGGTGGACAATCAATAGGTATGTTTCCACAACAAGTGCCACCTGGGCACATGGCTTATATGTATGCCCAACAACAAATGTATGGCAACCAGATGGCTGGTTATGGCTATGGCTATGCCCAACCACAGAACACACAATTTCTTAATCAGAGAATGTCTGGGCTCTCCGTGAGGGATGATGGTGTCCTAAATAATTCGTCCTATCCAGTTTCAACTCCTTCGTACATACCATCTGGAAAGCCCTCAAAGCCAGAGGATAAACTATTTGGAGATCTTGTTGACATTTCAAAGTTCAAATCACCCAAAACAACTCCTGGCAGAGCTGGGAGCATGTGACAGTGACTGGTTTCTGCACCTTCCTTTTTTTCTTCAATATTATTCTACATCTATTTAGTAATCAAGCTTGTGTTTGTTCTGATTTTTCCCTCAACGCTTAACTTTCACACATTGTTCCTTTTAGTCCATATGCATTTAATGGTTCTTTGTGAGTTTGTGTACATTTCTTGTAGAGAGTAAAACCCCAAGATCACAAAGAAAGTTGAGGAGCTTCCTTTTTTGCCAGCTTGAATATGTATAGAATGTCTTCATTTGTGTTTTTTGTGCAGCTTGGTGCTGTTATAACTTGTCATGCAGTTATTGGTGCTTTTACCTGGAAGTTTTTACAAGTGATATGAAACTTCTGTACTGGTAAGAGCTTTATGGCTCAGTAAGGAAATATTACATCAATGCCTCACCTGAAAGAACTGTAATAGTAAGATAATCCATTGTTTGCTGAGCTACATCGGGGATGTTAAGTTTGACAGTGTCTTTGCTGTTTCATGTTTTGGTATTTGTTTCTATATACTTGATTCCTTTGCTTTAAATAGTACGAAGATATTATACTGCAGTGTGTAAACTGGTTGGTCGACCCTTCATGCTTCTAAAGTGAGATATCAGCAGGTGGTTCTATGATTGTATTAGCCATTCATACTGCCCTTGAGGTGCATTAAGACATCTTAAGGGTGTGTATCTTCTGGTTTGTGGGACTTGAATAACTCATTTGTCGAAAACTTGCTGAGGATAAAGATGATAATGGTTTGCAGGTGCAAAGATGTTCCCCAGATTTTACCCATGCAGGCGTATGTTTTCTTCTCCCGGTTGACTATTGATCAACAATTCAATATTCTACTTTCATGAGTCGAGACTGTAATTTTCCTCTTTCATATATCTAATTAATTTCCTTGAAATGTAAGAATATACAAAATAGGTCGTTGTACATACTTTTTTGTTAATGTTGATATTATTACTGTTATCTATGGGGTAAGTACTCCCGTTACTGAATATTAAAGAGAAAACTGAATACATGAATATAAACAGACCATGTAGTCAACTTTACTAACAAAAGCATTGAACATTTTATATTAACTTGTCTGTGCCAACTGTTTTACCAAGTAACTTGTCTCTGCAAACTGATTATACCGAGTACTATGTGCAAATTGAATGCATATGATTTACCAAGAATTCCATTAGGCATAAAAATTTTTAAAAATGATTACCAAGAATCTCATTAGACATGAGATAGATAAATGCATATAATCTACCAAGAATTCCATTAGGCATAAAAAATTTAAAATTTTTAAAAGATGATTACCAAGAATCTCATTAGGCATGATGAGATAGATAAATTAAAAATAATTCCGTTGCCGGGACTTGAACCCGGGTCTCTCGGGTGAGAGCCGAGTATCCTAACCAACTAGACTACAACGGATGATACATTACTAAGTTGAGATAAAGATATACATCCGGTAAATAACAGTATTTACTCTATCAAAACACGAGTCTAGACTCTTGAGCCCTACTCCTCTTCTTTTGTAAAAGATGTACGCTTTTGATGTTATATCTAAATTTGATATGAATAGTTGTTTATTTTATTAATATCTGAATAATTATAATTTATTTTTATTTAAACATTGATAAATATAAAATATAAATAAAATGATGATTAATGTTATACATACAAACATAGATGGATGCCCCTAAAATGTTACTCATTCAAATGAACCCATAATTTTAATATGTGGATTAGAAATTCATGTAAAGGATTATCGATTTTTTCAATAAATATAAAACTTTGAATACCTTATGTTTAATGTGTAATGAGTTTGATGGTAAACATATAAAGATTGAACTTGTAAAATAAAAATTCTAAATATGCTTCTACCCACAAAGCATGAAAAAAATATTAATAATTCACTTCTTGTTGTATGAAAATATCTAATTAAAGATTGAAATTCATCAATCTCATTTGTTCATCAATTACGGTGTCATTGTCCACCATTAGTAACTCCACTATGTAATAACCATATACAACCATCACTAGACATCATTATCATCACCATCAACCACCCTGATCGTAATAATCATTAATTACTATCGTCAATCACCATTTATTACTATATATCACCAATTAGGTAATCACTATAATCATATCGTCTCTATTAACTATCACTTATAATTGAAACAACTATTAGCCACTATCTGACTATCACCATCTACTATCATTAGCAAATATCATCTCCAATTAGCATCCACAACCACCACCGTTACCATCACCATAATTTCGTATAATTTTTAATTTTTTATTGATATATGATTATTAATTTAATATTTGTTCAACTTCATATTTATAAATTTTTAAACAAACACAAAGTTTTATTCTTTCAAACATTGATAACAAACAATCTTAATCTTTTAGGAGTAGTATTTATATTTTCTCATGTTTGGTTGGTCAGTAAAATTTTTTTTTTTAATATTTGGTTGGTAATTGCAAAATATTTTCCAAAAAATATCTTTTCTTTTTGGCTTGAGACTAGAAAATACTCTTTAGGAAAATAATTTATGATTTGAAAATCAACTCGATAATTGATCACCCTGATGTCTGAACTAGAACAAAACCCCGATGACTATTCCAAAATTCAACACTGAGATTTGACCCAGACTTCCGCCCCGGAATATATTTTTCAAAAACATTTTTTTATTAAAAAAAAAATTGACAATGGGGTGGGGGGGGGGGGGGGGTTGCTGGGAAGGAGGCGGTGTAAAAAACGATTTTTTTCTTTAAAAAAATTGATGGAGATGGCCTAGGTGGGGTGACCGAGGGGGGGGGGAGTAGGGGGTGGTGTAAAAAATGATTTTTTTTTAAAAAAATTGAAATATATTCCAAAAACATTTTCTTTAAAACAAAAAATTTGACGGGGTGGACTGGGTGGGGGCAACAACGGCGGAAGGTGGCGTAAAAAATGTTTTTTTTTTTAAATTTGAAATATTTTTCAAAAATAATTTGTTTTGGAAAAAAATTGACGGTGGTACTAAAATTTCCACGTTAAATACTTTTGTTCGATTTTGGTAGCTACTAAAATTCCCAGGTTAAATACTTTTGTTCGATTTTGATAGCTACTAAAACTCCCACGTTAAATAATTTTGTTCGAATTAGGTAGCTACTAAAATTCGTAGGCTAAATATTTTTGTTCAAATTTGGAAGCTACTAAAATTCGTAGGCTAAACAATTTTGTTCGATTTTGGTAACAATTTTTAATTTATATATATACACGTTTAAGTTAGGCAGGAATTGAATGAATTAAAAGAGAACCCTAGCTACTAAAATACGATCTTCTTCTTGTTCTTCGAATTAACAGAAAATTTTGTTTGTTTTGAGAATATAATGGGAAAAAGTAATGATCATCCAATGGACAAGGAGATGATGAACAATTTGGTGAAGTATGTAATAGGGAAGCCTTTTCCTCGTAAGCATACTGTTATGGATGTCGATGATGTTTACGGAATCAGAGTATTCAGTCCATCACAAATCCTTGAATCTACCAAGGGCACAAAAAACAACACACGATTGTTGATCACTTTTCAGAATAGAGAAAACTGTAAAATATTTGATAGTAAAGAGGCTCCTGGGTTTTGGAAATCTACCCCCAAACTCAAGGGAATTTTTGATGCCAACAAGAGACACATTGGCAACATCAAAATTGGGTGGTACTACTACTACAACGTCGATGATGGTAGAGACAAGTCATCATCCAGATTGAGAAAGAGTGAATGGCAGATTAGAGAATATTATCTCGCACCTACATATCTGCCCCAAAGCAAAGTTGAGAGGAAAAATGTCTTATTAACCATGATGATCAAGACCAAAGCTGCTAATAATAATAATAATGACAAATCTGATGACAAGATGCAGATTGTCCTCGACAAGCAGGAGATTATGCAATCTTTACAATGCCTTCAACTTTAGTGATTGAACAACAGATTAGAGCCAGTTTACTTTTTTGTTTATGTTAAAAAACATTACTCATCTATATTATCAGGTTTAACTGCTGTTTAGTAAGTGTTTTTTTCTTTCTAAATAGTCTGATATAAGTTTTATTCTATTTACAACTTGTGTGTGAAAGTAAGATTTCTTATCTTTTGTGTATCTGGGCTGGTCTAATCTCTCTTTTTTACGCTTTGCATCTGCTTGATGCATATAAAAAATGTTTTATTCTGGTTTCTGAAACTCCTACGCGATTTAGCTAGTTTTAGAATTTGGGAGCTTAACGGTATGTACCAAAAGCTGGTAGGATGACCACTGCTGATACTTTAATATTATCTGTTTTGCTGACTGATTCAAGGAGTTAAGACTATCAGTTGCTTGCAAAATCTGGTTCACCATTGTGTGTGGAGATGAGTTGCCAGTCTAATGGTGAGAGTGAGAAAGTTTCATCGCCTCGTGACAGGAGTATTTTGGTGTATCCACAAGCTTCAGCGAGTGACAGAGTGGTGTGGTGTACCCACAAGCTTTACTTGCAACTGGATGGATGCATGTCAATATGAACAGGGTCTAATGGGTGGTCCTTACATTAATGGTTTCATCCTCTGATGCGAATGTACCAACAAATATGTACACGGGAGTTACCAGAGATTCAGGAGGACATTGAGTCGAGTTGCCAACAACTTCCCCCTACAGTAACTCAGGGGCTGAACATGGAACTCATTCCTTGAACCAGCAGATGGCGACTGCTGGCTTTGCCGGAACACTTGCTCCGTCAACATCTTCAGTAGTTCCTCTTCTATATTTAAGGATTTGTAATGTTCTTGGTGATATTCTTTTAGTTACTTGTTTCTTCAACCTGTCATGTGCAACTTTATCTCTGGTCATGTGCAACGTTACCATTGTCCAAAAAAAATAAAAAATTGACTCTCCTTAGGCCAAAAAAATATAATTTCTCCCTATTCACAATTGTAACTAATGTAATTATGGAAGAGACAAACATACTTTTACTGTTTTGATAAAGGACAAATAGACCTTCTTTTCATTTTCCACAATTTTGATTCCCTACTTATGATTATCTTTTCTTAATATTGTGGGTGAAATAGGTTAATGAAGAATCGTGCTGGCTCTTTATTCTGGTTTCTGAAATTCTTATTTATAAAATGTTTTATTCTGGTTTCTGAAATTCTTAAGCGATTTAGCTAGTTTTCAAGGCCTATTTCTTTCTTGGTAACAAGGTTTGGACTAGATAACTGTTCTCGTTCTACTTTGTTCGACGAATGACAAGAGTACTGT